TCTGCAGGCCATGGCTCTGAGGCGGTGGTCTGTTCTGTTCTGGCCAGAGTGGCCTTCTGAGGGGAGGCAGAGCAGCTGGGACTCAGCAAATGCATGCCCGCGGGTGAGAGGTTGTGCTGTGTGGCTGAGGGCAATTTCAGTTTGAGGAAGATGACCTTGGGCATAGAAAATACGATTTAACTGCTGCACGACTTCACAAAGGAGATCATGATCAGTTAAGTGTACATTAATGCTTTTGGAAGCAGAAGTGTACTTAATTATTCTATCACTAAAGGAGATGTCGGTACTCTAAAACACAGGATCCATGTGCTTGTTTGGAATGTGCTTACTTTGTCGTTTTTTGGCTGAGGTGGGCTGGTAAAGGGGGATGGATACGTACACCATGTTTGTATAAAAAATGGAGATTTGGGGGTGTTTGTATCTAAAGGTGGATATTTGTGGTGTTTGGAGAATACTTGAATACTTGAACTTTAATCTTCCTAATTCATGCTAAGAAGAATGATCACCCCATTGATTCTGAACCCTAGAAAGCTGCCTCTTTTCTTTGATTTGGTTGCAAATGGACACCTTCTCTGAGAGAGGACAGATGGGAGCAGCACAGGCTGACCAGGAGGAGAAGGGAGATGTTGGGCCACTGAACTGAAATGCTGCTTTGGATTCAGATGTCTTCAGCCTTTCTTTTCAATAACTGTCCTGTGGGGTGATATGGGAAATAAATTCACCAAGGAAGTGAAAAAGTAAATAGACTTGATGTCCACATAAGAACAGTTTCTCTAGTGGGGAAAGGGGTTTTTGTCCCTTTCTTTGGGGGGGGGTGGTATACTTGGACTTGAAGCTGGGGGAAAGGTTTAGGCTGTAACTGGAACTGGGTCAACATTGTAACTCCTGTGTAAAAGCACTACAAATTAACTATTTTATGCTGTGAAACCAAGTGTGTAATAACAGACCTGGCAATTAATCACCTCGTATTTGTCTCTTAGAAAATTATGTACTACAGCTCCACCAGGTGGCTGCCAGCTCTGAGAGTGAGACAGGCTGACATTGACGGGGAGGAGGGCAAAGCTGCTTTTGAATCTGTACTTGTCCAGGTTGATGACATCAAAATTCAGTCTAGAGAAGGGCAGAGATGGGAGACCACTGCAGGGTTTTTCTGTATTTATTGATTGGTACCAGGGATGGAACTTTATTTATTTATTTATTTGTTTGTTTGTTTGTTTATTTATTTGGGGATTTTCTAAGTCTTACCTGGCAACAAACACCAATAAGAAAAAAACTCTAAAACTCTGTATGACTCACCTTAAACAGTTTTCTAATGGGTTAATTGTCCTGCAGGTTCGTGTATAATGGCACCCTAGTTCTGACTGTTGTTTTTAGTGTTTCTAAAAAGGGCAGAGGATACCGTAGACCCCAGGGTTGGCTTGGGCTTATGACTGTCAGACCCTTGCATGTGATCTAGCTCAGATGCTGCTGGTGGAGCATCGTGGGAAAGTAGCAAAGATGTTGTGACCTGATTTGGCTCTAGGCTCTGCTCCTTTTGCAAGTGGCTTTTTTTTTTCTGGCCATCAGTTTTCTCATCTGTGAAAGAGTTATACTCCCTGATCTCAAAACTCTCAGCCATTTGCACAAGCATTTGGTGATTTTGTTTTAATTTGATGAAGAATAAACTTGTTGTTAAGCATTTGAAGCCAAATAGAAAAGATGAAGGAGGAAAGCTAATTTTAGCACAGGCATTTACATTTTTACAATTAAATTCTACATTAAGATATTGATGCTAAGAACTGAAACAAGACGGTCTTCACTCTTCTCTCCCTGGTTCTAATATGGCACAGATGTGATAATAAAGACCATATGCAGCCTCACTGAAAGTATAGACATAAAATGTTAAAAAGGAAAAAAACCAGATAAGTGAATTGAGCTATCAACTTGTTTTAGGCAGCACAGAGAATAAAACAAAACAAAACGTATCCAGCTACTAAGATGTGAAATTCATTTTCCTAATTCTTTGGTCCTATTCCCCTCTGGGTTTAGAGAAAGAAGAAATAGCTGAATTTTTTTCTGTTTGGTTTCCTTTTACTTTTTATTTACTCATTTTTAAAAGCTTTATTAAAATACAATTCACCTGTCATGCAATTTACCCATTAATGTGTAGGAGCAGTGACTCTTAGTACAGTACTGAGAGCTGTGTGGCCTTCACGCGGTCTGATTGTCACCCAGAAACTTTAACCACTGATAGGCAGTCTCCCTGCCCCTCCTCCCACCTCAGCTCCTCCCCATCCCTAGCCCCAGGCAACTCTTTATTTTCCCTTCCTTCTATCTACTGGTAACTGTATATCCATGGACCCCACATCTCCCTCCCCTCCTTCACCACCCCAGCTTCCAGCGACTGCCACTTCTATAAGATCACGTTTTGTAGATCACACACATGAATGAGATCACATAATTCTTGTCTTTTTGTGCCTGACTGACTTTACTTAATTTTAACATAATGTTCTCCCAGTTCATCTGCATTGTCACAAATGACAGACTTTTATTCCTTTTTATGATTGAATAGTATTCCACTGTGTGTATATGTAATACATGTATTACATGTATTAAGTAGCTTTATGTGTTCAGTATATATCTTAATCATGCAAAAATTAAATATTATATAAAAGTGATCTTTTTTTTGTACCAGGGATCAAACTTAGAACCTTGTGCTTGCAAGGCAGGCAGCGCCACCACTCAGCTAAATCCCTGGCCCAAAAGTGACATTTTAAGAGTGCTGAGTGACATTGTTTCCTTATTCTAAATGTCCATAAAATAAACCATCCTTAATACAAATATTTAAAATTGTGGTAAGTATATGCTATGTTAATTGATTTTATTTTTCACACTAGTTGAAGACACTAATTTGAAAAAAAAGGATAACCAAAATTTGATTCCAATTTTTACCTATATAGTCTGTTTAGGAAGTAACAAGAACTGATTATGGCAATGGTAGGAATATTAGTCCCTTGGCCTTTGTACTTTGCCTTGTAATAATAAGTGAATTTGATGTTCTTTGTGTTTCCCCCCTTTAAAAAAGTAGTAAATTCATCATTTAAAAATGAAGACTGATTTCATATATGGTGGTTCTTCCCACCATTTGTTTGCTACTCTTCTTGGTTTAGTTTGCCTTCTTCCGGTCTGCTGGACGCGGTGTGCACTGTGGTGTGTGTGCCGGAGTGTGTGGGTGTTGCTCTGCTTCAGGTGTGGAGGGTAGCCTGCAGTGTAAGGTAGACTTTGATCTGGGAGTTGGCTTTTTGTGTGTGACACATTTACATGAAAACAGAACCTTTGATTTTAACAACTCATTTGTTCTTCCTGCTGAATTCCCGCCTGAATTCATTGTAATGCTCCATGAGGAACACTGTTGCTGGTTGCTACGGAATTGATTGACATTAAATAAAAGATTATGACTTCGGGTAGAAATTAAGCAGCAAGAACTAATTTCTTAAAGAGAGAGGATAAGGGATCAGAGTTTCAAATGTGGGCACAGACCTGTTCATTTAAGAGTAACAATTCTGGTTTTGGTAAAAAATTTTGAAAACATTCATTTCACAGCATGATCTTATATCAAATAAAAAACCTCAAATGTATTTTAAATTTATTTTTTGTTAAAAGAGGGCATTTCAGTTTTTCTTTTTCTTTTTTTGCTACCGGAGATTGAACTCGGGTCCTTGCACTTGGAAGGCAGGCCGCGTCAGTTTTTCATTTTTCAGAAATGCACATGCACATTCAGACTTTGTATGTTATACCTGCGTTATTCTTAGCAGTCTTCCAGACTAAATAATTTCCCCATATCTTTATCAAGCAGAAATGATGGCAGCTTTCCAAATGTACAGTATAATCTTAGTTTTGGAATTTAAAATTCAACTTCTAGTTTTCAGTGTACTACGAATTATGAATTTGAGGCATATTTTATATGTTTGTCTTAAATACACTGAAAAGGAGGTTTTGACTATTTTTCTATATTCTTCTGATAACTGCAGTAATGACGTGTCATTTTGCTCCTCTGAGCTCATTTTCCACATCTCTATGAAATGGAGGGCCTAGGTGGGAGTCTGGGCAGAACAGTATCTGATGTCTGTTCCAGTTCTAAGCCTTGTATGACACGAGGGAGCAGGACGCTTTGGTGGTCTCACGGCCACATCTGCTCATCACTGACATATCTGCTACTGTGAAGGTTTCCTGTTATCCCCATGCTGCATATGGCTTTCTGAAGGCTTTAGCTATAATCTAAAACATTTAATTTGCTTGGCTTTTATACATTTAACATTTATTTGCCAGCAGTGACTTAGTCAAGCAGGAATTTGGGTTGGCTTTCAAAGACTGAACAAGTCTGAATATAAATGGAATTGAGGTCATTTGTCAGTATCTATTCTTTTATTTCATTAATTGAATTAATGTCTAAGCACTTAGCCTGAGGAATGTATAAGCTCTTCTATTTTATTAATGGTTTTGGCTTAATCCTATCTTTTAGCATGAAATAAGTACGAAATAGAAATTCTTGAAGATTCTTATAATCCTCCACCTCCCATGAAGTACTTAAGCAAAAGAATGAATGCACCTACCATTCTTTCTCCTCTACTCCGTCTTTTCTTTCTTTCTCCCCCCCCCCCGCCCGCCATACCCAACTCAGGAAATTGCACTTGCCAGGCAGTTACTGTGCCACTGAGCTACATCCCAGCCCTCTACTCATTCTCTTCTGAGTAATCACATGACCATTTTATCTACTATCTAACCTAGACACAATTTTTGTGTTTTTAAAAGGGGAAAAAAAAAGCCAATGACTTAAATCGTGTCATTGTTTTATAATCAAGTGATCATAGAAGAAAATACCCTAATAAATGCAGGGCCCTTGGGAATCCTTGCATAAAGGAAAGCAGCCGAGGTACCAGATAAATCTGGTATTTTATTGAGAAAACTGGTCAAGGTATTGGCTTTGTCCTTCTCCTGGTAATGTTGTGTCATTTATTTAGATATCCTTGGAACAGAAGATCTTCTTGTAGAAGCAACTTCCAATGATGCTGTGAGATTCTATCCCTGGACCATTGACAATAAATACTACTCAGCGGACATTAATCTATGTGTGGTGCCAAACAAATTCCTTGTCACCCCGGAAATTGCAGAGTCTGTCCAGGCATTTGTGGTTTACTTTGACAGCTCACAAGTAAGACTTTGTTTTGCATGGAACCTGGAATAAAAGATGATGGTATGTTTTCTTTTTTTCCTCTGCATTTTCTGTGAGTTTTCTTAATGTCTCTTTTTCTGTTTTTGTTTGTTTGCTTTTCTCCCTGTAGAAATCAGGCCTTGACAGCGTCTCCCCGTGGCTTCCCCTGGCAGAAACATGGGTACCAGAGGTGATGATCTTGGTCTGTGACAGAGTGTGTGATGACGGTAAGGCGCTGGGATGGGATGTCACTGGGACACGCATTGGCCATTTGTAGTAGACAGAGTGCATTTGTTTCCTTACAACAGTACCTCTCATGTGACTTTGTCACTTTACAGATATTTTCAGCAATTTTTGGAACCTTACCATATCGACATTGTTTTTTAAGAATGGATACTTTGGAGCTGAAAAGTCATTTTATTTATGTTACTTTATTCTAGATGCCTTTAGAGTATCATTGACATTAAGGGAAAAGCAATGAGATTTGTGGAGAGTATCGCAGCAGGGTATTCATATTTTATTTCTACTTATAAAGATTGTTTTGCATATTTTAGGAGTAAGCCGACAAAAAGCTCAAGAATGGTGCATCAAACATGGCTTTGAATTGGTGGAGCTTAGTCCAGAGGAGTTGCCTGAGGAGGACGGTAAGTGTGGATGGGTTAGTAGAAAACATGGCATTTGCATTAAGATAGGAGAGACTGAATTCAGAAGAGAAGAACAAAGGGAAATTCAAGAAACACTGCCCCCACCCCCCAGCTGTTTGGAAAGTTTTGCACAAAATCCACTGATGTGGTCTTGCCAATAATGTAATGATCCATTTATTTGGTCTTACCATCCATTTTAGGACTGGAAATTGTTTTTCGATGGATGACAGTAAAGAATTTCTATCTAAAATGGTTGTCATTTCTCTAATTCCTTATCCTTTCTCTGTTGCCAAATAAGGAGGGTTAGACATACTCATAGGTAGAAATTCTGTGCCTTCTTTAAATTTATAATAAACTACAGAACTGCAGGGGCCATATCAGACCTGTTTGTATGTGTTCAGGACACTTGAAACCAACAATAAACCCAGAATATCCTCTTATCTGTGTATAGCTGCTTATTACCTGGCTTTTGCTGCTGCCTGGACCTTGTGTTTCTTTTACTATTTTTAATGTAAAAGAAAGTTGATTCCCTGATTCTTTTCTCATTCAAAGTATACCTGTGTGGGATCTGCCTAGAAAAGACAGATTTTGGCCCACCAAAACCTTTCATCTGGTACCAAAGATAAAAAGTGGATATAAATAATTGAGCTACCAAATGGAATGTCACAGTATTAAGAAAAAATACTGGTACTGCGGTAGTTCAGAGACAGGAGAGATTGTAGTCATACTTTAGTACTGGACTGCTTTGAAACACATCAAATTTGGTACTCAACACATTTTGCTGCGAAAATTTTGTCCCAGTACTCGCTGGTTTAGAACTCATTGCACAAGTTAGCACTTGTAGTATCTATTCCCTTGTGCCTCGCTGCCCATTCCAGCCAAAACATTTTGTTTGGTGCCTCCTGGAACCAATTAGTGGCGAGTACTGAGGTATCACTGTATTTCAGTTTAGATATGCAGAGAATGGTTTTTATGTACTGTGAACTCTTACACATCAGCTGCTCTGGAGGAAACGGAAAAGGTACTGAACCTGTAGTTAGAGTACCCTTGGGGAGGTAGAAGTGATAAAATGCCAGTTGTTCCAAAAAAAAAAAAAAGTTCCCTAAAACCTGTGCCTGACTTGAGCATTGTGTGAAACTGCTTATTTCTGGCACCAGAATTTGCTTCCTGTTGTCCTTAGGAGTCAGCATTTGACTGTTAACATTGGGAATTTCTGATCCTTTATACCATCATTCTTCTTTTCCTTAGTGTGAACAGTGTTTTTGTATTACTTAAATTAATTTTAAAATGATTTTTTAAGCGTGTCATCTTTAGGCAAGATAACAAAAACTTTCCTAGAATTTTTTGTTTGTTTGTTTGTTTTTGGTACCGGGGATTGAACTCGGGTCCTTGTGCTTGCAAGGCAGGCAGCAGAACCACTGAGCTAAATCCCCGGCCCCCTAGAATTTTTAAATGCAAACTGTTTCCAACTCATTGATTCCTTCACCTTTTATTTGCATTTGTATTCAAATACCCACATGGGATTTATGGATATTTGTATAAAATTTCCTCTTATTGGTTCTAACTCTTCATTTCAGGACCAGTTTTTCATTTCATGGATATAACATCTAAAGCATTAGTTATTCCTTCAAGAATTGAGTCATTAGGGGCTAGGGATTTAGCTCAGTGGTTCTGCCGCCTGCCTTGCAAGCACAAGGACCCGAGTTCAATCCCTGGTACCAAAAAAAAAAAAAAACAACAAAAAACAAGAATTGAGTCATTAATTGTTAAGAAAAACATGCCTCTTAAATCTTCATCCAAACATCAATTGCAATAAACTTGCCTTTGTAGTTATTTTCAGTTTAATCTCATTCTGTTGTTAAGTTGATATTTTTTAAATGATTTGTCAGCCCATGAAACAGTTACTGAGTGCCTGCCGTCTTCAGGCACCTACCTGCTAGGCATTGAGCACAAGGGACTGAGTAAGATACAGTTCGAGTCCTCTGGGGCTTTCTGGTCCAGGGCTAAAGTTACATCAGTGCATCATCAGTCCCAGGGGCCTTTCCTCCAGGAAAAGTGTGCACAGAGTAGCCTGCTGTGCTTTTCTTTGGGGATAGTGTAAATGATTTGTCCTCAATCAGATAAGCTAAGTTACAGGCCTGGGTTTAAGTCAGATCATCTGACTTCTGCTTCTGGGCTCTTCATGTTAAGCCTCCCAGGTCGAGGGCACTAGTGACAGGTTCCACGTGGAATGTGTTCTGCAAAGTCTTTTCCCTTCTCTCCACATGCACATGATCTCTGCCATAGTCCTCAGTATCCAAAGGGACTGTTTCGTTTGTGTACACAGCAATACCTAACTTGTAGCTAAGAATATCATTGTGTTATTGACATGCTACCTGGGATTATTGCCCTTTTATTTTGAGTAAGATCAGTCATTCACTCTTAAACTCTTTTCTGTGATTAAGGAGTTCTTCTCTAAATATTTTCAAACAGATTGGGCTGGGGATTTAGCTCAGTGGTTCCACCACCTGCCTTGCAAGCACAAGGACCCGAGTTTGATCCCTGGTACCAAAAAAACCCAAAAGAGAACAGATAATAGTTATCCAGTGGTTTCTAGTGGAAGATAATTCGTTTATGGTGTGTTATCATATACTAAAAGTTCTGTGCTGCCTTTAGGAAACGCTCTCTCTGAAAATAACTAAGATTAGTGTCTTTGGTACTAGGCCATGATTGTGTAATTAATGGAAATTTACGTTTTCAGGAGAATGAGTGGATTCCATTGGTGAGGCAATGGAATGACTTTATTATATATCTCTCTTATATTGTGTGTTTAATCATTTCATTTTGTAGAATATTTTTATCAGGAGCTCTGAGCTCTGTATTTGCTCTGTTTTTTCCTTATTACACAAGTTATAGTGTGAAGTAACAACTAATAAGCAAGATAATTAAACCATGGTAATTTGAAAATGTGGCTTTAAGGGTGTGTGTGCATGCACACATGTGTGTGAGTGTGGGTATGTGAGTATTGTAGCTATGTATAAGTGTTTATAGTAATATGTATATTTTTTTCCCCTCATTAGATGACTTTCCTGAATCTACAGGAGTAAAGCGAATTGTACAAGCATTGAATGCCAATGTCTGGTCCAATGTAGTGATGAAGAATGGTAAATAACTTGAGTCTCAAAGTAATTTTCCCCATTTGTTGTTAAGTTTTAAATTATTTGGGTATATGTGGACCCATTAGGATTGTATTAAATCTGTAAATTTGTTCAGTTCTCAAGGCTTCAGTTGAAGGAAGAGCCCTAAGTAGTATTTCTTTGGATTTTAAGTATGTGTTTTAATACTTAATTCGGTAAGAATTTAGAGGCAACCTATCATATGCCTAGCATGGCCTTTAGCTTTAAGAACTACCTAACACTGTAAGACATAGACCCTGTCCTTAAGAGTCTCCTAGGCTAGCTGTGGATTTCAGCATGCACTTTTCAAATGTCAGGTAACCCCACAGGATGACTGATGCAGGCAGTAGGTACATAGAGTCAGAGATGTGCTGTTGTGTCACCCATGGGTAGTGTATTGGTCAGCTTTCCTGTTGCTGGGACTAAAAACCTGACACCTACAATTTAAAGAAGTTTATTTTGGCTTATGGTTCAGAAGTTTCAGTCCAGGATCAGCTGCTTCCAAGGCACAGACAAGAAGGGTGTGATGGAGCAAAGCTGCTCAACTTGTGGCAGCCAGGAAGCAGAGAGACAAGGAAAGAGTCAGAGGAAGGGGCCAGGGTCAGGTGTAGGCAGTCCCCAAGGTCACCCATCCATACCTTACTTTGTCCAAGTCCCCACCTCCTGTATCTCATTGACCCGTGGCTTATCCATGGGTTTGTGCCTTTATACACCAGCCACCTCTCCAGGAGTCTCTTACTCTAGCTGAGCTGACAATCAAGATTAACTAGCACAGGTGGAGAGAGCTTCAGATCAGTGTGGGTCCTGACTGTTCTTTGTAAAGTGGTCATGATTTGGGTAATGAAAGAGCACAGTGACAAGCATGAAGAATAACAAGTAGTGCATTCTGGGGTCACCCGAGAACCTCACCGAACACATACAGCTCGCTTAGAGGCCTGAAAGGCAGGCAGGAGGATTTGAGCTTTTTCCTATAGGAAGTGCTGAGTCCCTGGAGACCCTTTAATAAAGAAGTGAGGCAAAGTTGGCATCTTTGAAAAGTTAATGCTTGGTGCTGTGCACAGGGTTTGGCAACCAAAGGAGGTGAAAGTAGATCCTGCAGTTGGGGAGACCAGAGCTGCTGCAGCAGCTCAAGGGTGAGGTGCAGGGACCTGGGCTCAAGTGCTGGCCACGGCTATGGGTAGAAGGCTGGGTCGAATGTACCGTGTGGGGGCCGGCGAGCTGGCCCACATGGGCTGTTAGGGTCTGCATTAGTTTGCTAGAGCTGTAGTAACAAAGTGCCACAAACTAGATGGCCTACAACAGCAGGACTCTGTGGCCTTACAGTTCTAGATGTCTGGATGTCAGAAGCCCAAAATTGAGGTGTCAGCAGGTCAGGGACACACTGAGGGAGCCGGGGAAGGATTTGTTCCCAGTCTGTCTTGTAAATTCTGTCATTCCTTGTCTTGTGGCAGCGCGACTCCAGTCTTCCCATAGCGTTCTTCGTGTGTGTCTGTGTCCAGATTTCCCTTTTTATAAGGCCAAAAATTACCTTGAATTAGGGTTGCAGCCTATTGGAGGGTGACCCCTTTTTAACTAATTACATCCACAATGATTTTGTCTCCGGATAAAGTCACCTTCTGAGCTACAAGAGGTTAGAACTATGGCATAGGAACTTTGGGGAAATGCAGTGCAGTCAGCATAGTCCTGAGGAATTGCTGCCTGTGTAGTATTTCTCTCTTGTGAGCACTTGGCTGTCACAACAAGTATGTAGTATGAAGTGAACGCTACAGAAAGGAATGAGAAAAATCATATTTTACAGTGAGCCTCACCCGTAGTCTCTGAGATAAGGGTCAAGTGAATGATGAGTTTTATACAAGTAGAATATTTTGTCTCAAGTTTTGGTAGACACTAAGTGTTAAGTGAGGTCAGCACCCTTCCGCTTGCCTGATATCTGATCTAACCCTGTCATAGTTGGAGAAGCTGCTTTTGGCTTAATAAGTTACTTCTCCTACCACTTCCTCTTCCACCTTGGGAAGGAGAATCTGGTATGTCTATTACATTGAATTGAAAAGATAATAGATTTTATTTCATTGCCGTAATAATCAAAATAATGCTGTGCTCTAGGAGGAATAAGGAAATTTTAGCCTATGATGTCAGCCCCCCCCCCATTTCCAAAACCTCAGATTATGACTTGGTCCTACTCATTCCTTCAGCAAATCCCTGCTGAGCAATTACCTTAGTGAGGCATTGCGCTAGACTATCTGTACTATAAAAGTAAGTTTAAGATATGGTACATAAGCTGGATCAATTTAAAATAAAATTATATTCAGTGGTGCTTGTTTTATTTATAGAACAAGTTGCAGAAAAGTTTATGTGGCTTCAATAAATTTTTGAAAAATCTGACCTCCCAAGTTTATACATTAAAGAAGTGATGCATTGTAATTTGCACTTATTTCTAGACAGTCCTCTGTTTATGGGGTCTGCATCCTTGGATTCAACCTCTCTTAGGGTGAAAATATTTGGAAAAACTATGTCTATATTAAACATGTATAACTTTTTTCTTTATATTCTCTAATATAGTATAAGAACTCTACGTAGTGTTTACATTGTATTAGGCATTATAAGTAATCCGGAGATAAAGTTTATGGAATATGCGTATATTGTAAGCAACTACTGTGCTGTTTTATAGAAGGCACTTGAGCACCTGTAGATTTCAGTATCCTTAGGAGTCCTAGATATCTGTAAATTTGCAAACTGCACTGAACATGCTTTATTACTTTGGAAGTATGAACAAAAGTATTTTCTTAAAATGTCATTCTACTTGTTTTAGACAATGTATTAGTTATCTTTTTCATTGCTGGAACAAAATACCTGACATAACTTAAAGGAGGAGAGATATATTTGGCTCACAGTTTCAGGAAATTCAGTCTGTGGTCGCCTGGCTCCATGGCAGAAATGGCAGGGCAGAAGGGTCTGGTGGAGGAAAGCTGCTCAACCCATGGTAGCCAGGGAACAGAGAGAAAGGAAAGATCCAGGAACAAGAATACACCCTTCCAGGCCACACCTCCTATGACCCACCCCCATCTAGCCACCTTCACAGCACATTCAGCTCTGAACTTCAGTGGATTAATCTGCTGATGAATATAGCATCTCCATAATATAGTCAAAGTCCCACCTCTGAACACATGGGACTTTGGGGGACATTTTAGATCTAAACCATAACAGACATTAAAACCATATTCTTTTAAAACTGCAGAGAGGTACACTGTGAGTTTTTCATGCTTCTTTGCCCTGAAATGTCTTTGCTTTCTTCTTTTCTCTTTGTAGTACTGAGACATGTTAGCATAAAGCAAAGTAATATATGCAGTGTCTTGGGTTTGATCCCCGGCACACCACATAACACCACCACCACCACCACGGTCCAGAATATTGGCACTAGGTGGGGGATTTAGCTCAGTGGTTCTGCTGCCTGCCTTGCAAGCACAAGGTCCTGAATTCGATCCCTGGTACCAAAAAAACCCCCCAAAAACAGAATATTGGCATTATCTTAAATCCGTGTTTAAGAGGACCCTGGCCTATGTGGTATGAAAAAAAAGGCTGTCTAGGAAGGACCCTATTGTAATACTGAAATTCAGTTGCATTTGGAGGCCACCTAGTCATGGGAAGTGTGAAGGATATCCTTTGTAACCTCACAAAGCTTTTGAAACAAAAAGTTTTTTTTTTTTAAATCAAAAAGTTGGTTTAGGGGCCGGGTATTTAGCTCAGTGGTTCCAGAGCCTGCCTTGAAAGCACAAGGTCCTGAGTTCGATCCCTGGTACTAAAAAAAAAACCCCAAAAATTCATTTACATAATTTTAAAAGTTGTTAGAAGTATTAGATAACTTTGTCAGGACATTAAAGCCTTTCTTTCGATAGCAAAATTAATATAATCACAATTAATTCTTTGGCAAAGAATTGGGAAATTACATAATCCTGATTTATTATTTAGTATTTATTGAGAAGTTATGGAATACTAATGCCTTGCCATGCCAATCTTCATCTTTACACAGTTGAGGAAAATGTTAGTTTTAAATTCCATCTTAAATATTTTTTAAAAATCCAATTCTAGGAAGGACTATGAAAATTTAGATGATATGACATATAGCACTGAAAGTATACAGATCTTACTACAGTTTTGTTTCTTTGCGGCTTCTTGAACAGTTGGCATGCAAAGGTCAAGTAATCTGAAAATCTAGGTTAATTAAAAGCTTAGGTGGGTAGCTTCCTTCTTGGCCTTCACCAATATAAAGTGGATGTGTTACCTACAATGGGAATTTGTGGTTAAGTGAATGGCCAACCTAATTCCTTTGAGCTGGCATGTCTCATTACAAGTCTGGACAACTAACCTGGCCACATTTTCATAACCTCTCGTCTGTAAAAAGTCTCTTCCTTAAACGTTAATAATACTCAAGCAACAAAGAGAACAGATAAGTTAGAGTTCATTAAAATTAAAAACTTTGAACTTTAGAGGACAGTGTATCAGTTTTGTGTTGGTATAACAAAATGCCCGAAGGTACATACTTTATACAGAAAAGAGGTTTATTTAATTCACCATTTTGGAAGCTGAAAGTTAAGATTTAGCACTTTTTGGTTCTCCTTCATCAGGGCCTTCTGGCTACATCATGACCTGGTGAATGGTGTAAAGGTAGGAGTGTGTCTCTCTGTGTGTCTGAGAGAGAGAGAGTCATACATACATATGGCAAAACAGGAAGCAAGAGAGAAAGCCCAATTCTTTTTTGAACAACCCATTCTTGAGAGAACTGATGCAGGCCCATAAGCTGTGATCCACTCCTGAGAGACGCCATTAACCCAGTCATGAACATTGAGGCAGTTGCGTTCCTTGGGGCTCCCCCTCTTCAAGATCCCACTCCCTCCGACAGCTCCCAGTACATGAACCTTTGGGGAACACACTGACACCATGTCCAAACCAGTGAAAGATAACTCTCAGAATAGGAGAAAATATTTCGAAAA